GAGAGAGAGAGAGAGAGAGAGAGAGAGAGAGAGAGAGAGAGAGAGAGAGAGAGAGAGAGGGTACTGTTGGGGTGCAGGTGAGGGCGGAATACCTGCATCAACTGGTTGAGGAGGCACCACTTTCACAACCCGATAGGTTTCATAACCACTGAATACCAGAAGGTTCTGAATAAGGGACACAGTGATTTGCTGAATCTTCCTGTCGAGAAGAGATGTCTGCCCATAGCTTGGCAGCACTGAAATGGAAACTTGTGTTCTTATCATTGAATACTTCACTATCATCTGCAGTCAATGACACACACACACACACACACACACACACACACACACACGCACACACGCACACGCATACAGGATAATTAAAACATTGAAGGGATTACTCAAGCGAAAAACGTAAATATTTTCTAGAAAGAACTGAAAGATGTTCCAGAGAATTATAACAATCATGAAAAAGAGCTCAAAGATATCCCAGAAAATTCTTGAATAATCAAACGTAAATATTTTCTAGAAAGAACTGAAAGATGTTCCAGAAAATTATAACAATCATGAAAAAGAGCTCAAAGATATTCCAGAAAATTCTTGAATAATCATAAATTATTGAACTATTTCAGGAATCACCTTCGACTATGTAATGTCTGTTGAATATTTTCTGCATAAGTTTCGATTCTTCTTTTTAATCGTTTTTGAATATTTTTTAATTACCTTTTGAGTATTTTCAGAATAAGTATTAAATAATGGACACTGGACATGACCACTTCAGGCAGTTCTAGAGGTCTCTAAATCCTTCTTCAATCCCTTTGCCCTTCTGATCCGTTCCAGTGGTCTCTAAATCCTTCTTCTACCCCTCTTCCCTTGTGATTCTTTATGTTCTTTGTTCTCCTTCATTTTCTTCAATTTGTCTATTTTGAAAGGATTCACGCTGCAGACACCCCAGTCCCGGTCCTAGAGTCCCGAAGTGTCCCAGTCCCAGGCTGTCCCAGTAGGGTAGGCCGTAGGGTCTGTAGTCCGAAACGCCATAGATTGGAGCGTCATAGGTCAGTAGGAGTCATCCGGTACCCAACAAGAAAAGTCCGGAACAGTCGCAAGTCCAATTTTGCAGCATGTCCCAGGAAAGTCCGGAAGCTACCGGACCGAGAAAATGTTTGCAGCAGACGGGCAGCGGCCGAGAAAATGTTTGCAGCAGACGGGCCGCCGCCGACCGGTACCGGTCTGAAGCAGGCCAAGCCAAGCCAAGCCAGGCCAAGTCCTATATTTAGCTGCTACAGTGCAGCGACTCATCACTTGTTCAGTTGCGAGATGCGGAAGCGCTGCTGCTGCTGCTTGTGCATTAAGGCAACTTGGGATCTGCGCGCCCGAAGAAGAAGAGGGCGCACGCGTGTGACTCCATAGCTAGGGTAGAGATAGAGCAGGAGGACGGCGGCCATAGCTGCCAAGGTGTAAAGCTTACCTGAGTGGGTGTATCCAGGGTGAAGACCTAGGCTAGAGAGAGAGAGAGAGAGAGAGAGAGAGAGAGAGAGAGAGAGAGAGAGAGAGAGAGAGAGAGAGA